TTTTCACACGATAATTAGGCGTAAAATGGTTGATTTTTTTGTCCGACGAGCGTAAACGACCACACAAGAACGAATCAACAAAATCGCCATCTTTATCATGTGATCGAGGTTTATTTTCAGTAAGTTGCCTTATACAGAATCGAATCTAGTAATGATACTTTTCTTTTGTATATGACCAGTTGTTTATGCGCAAAAGTATTACTTCAGATATTTTTCTACTTTGTTTTCTAATGTCTGTGCCATTTTTTTTGTTTCTTTGTATGAACGATTCGAATATGAACCTATTTTAAATGTAAATAAAACCATAAGAAAAATGTAGGCCATCCTCTTTTATAAATTTTTAATTAGCCAAATAAAGTAAAGCTGTTGCAAATGAAGCAGCAATGTTGGGAAAATGGTGCTTGGCGCTACTGAAAATGGAAAAAAAACTTGTCGGATCCTAAGCAATCCGAGATTTTCCGATTGTCGGATTTTACCGTCGGAAATCGTCGGATCCGACACCCGATAACTTCCTGTCGGAATCCAGTACCAAGGAATCCGACGAATTCCGACCGGAACCCGTTGGAAGTTGTCGGATTCCTATCGGAAAATATCGGATTATTCAAGGTTTCCGATGGGATCCGACAGGATCCGAGGTTCAGATCGTTCGACCTGGGCGCATCTTCACATACGGATGTTTATTCTGAATGCCCTCATTTTAAGTAAATAATAAACTATTCATACTCGTCGCGGATGAAAATATGTTTGGATGTAGGTTTTGTATACTTGAATAATCAGCGATGCATTTCCGAAAAATAAAAAAGAACTGTTAAACAGCTTGAAGAACCCAGGAGAATCATTCCGACAGTAGGATCCTATCGGATTCCGACAAGGGCCAGACAGTGAATATACCACCCAGGTCGAGTAATCATATTGTAAGATCTGATAAGATCTTGCATCTGATCTTGTACGATCATACGAAAATCATACAAAAAATCGTAGTTCCTGAGATCTTAGATTAGGTTGAATAATCAGATTCTTCAAATATCTTAGTAATGTGTAAGATCTTTCAAGAATCTGATTGTGCGAATTGATCTCAGATCTCAAAAACTACGATTTTTTGTCAGAATCTTGTAAGATTTCGCCCGTATTCCAAGATCTTGTATGGGCTTCCTAAAATCGTGTGTCGGATTTTTCGACCTAGGCAGATGTGTTTCAATAAAACCGACGAAATCTTATGGGATTCCTGAGCATGGACCTACAGCCGGATCCTTGGTATCGGATCCAATCGGATTCGATGCTGAATTTTAACGGAATCCAATTCTAACGAATCACCCTTGCGCTCTGATGGCTCAAAATGCTTATTTGATCGTGAATAAGAAAATGATTTTTTCCATCAGAACCGACAATAGGTCCGCGTCCAGGAATCATATCGGATTCTGTCGGGGAGTCGAATCCCATGGGACTCGATAAGATCCGTTGTCGTATTCATTCACCTGGAATCCTACTTGTTAAGAAATTGAGAAAAAAATGTGTGCGAACTGTGAACGGACCATCAAAGAAATTTACAAAAGAAATGATAAACTCTGATATTTGGACCTTAGCAATAAAATCAAGTATTAATTATGGAGAACGACTTGTTTCTTTCTATGAAATAAGTTAATTTCAATAAATATCATGAAAATAAGCACTATTTTACAATCCGAAATCTATTTTACTTAGATCGGTTTAAAGGAAACTGAAAGATTAGAAAAATAATAAAATTGTTTTAATTATAATTGCATCAGACGAAAGCTACAAAAGAAACTGTGATCTTTAAAAGTATCAGTTATGTTTTTTCATACATGTAGAAAGAAACTAATAACTACTGATTATTTTGTGGCTCAGACATATATGAATATGATAATAAATGGTGTGTATCAGAGACGTGCACAGGACAAGACTTTTTGTTCTGTCCTTACCTGTCCTGCTGGCTACTTTGGCCCTGGCGGGCGTCAGGACAGGGCAAAAATCGAAATCTCATCCTGTCCTGGCTTGTCCTGCTGACTTTTTGTGTCCTGGAGGGCGACAGGACAATACGTTAAAGCCGTATCCCGGTTAGTGTTACTCGTTTCTTCCGGTTTTGCTAGTGACTGAAGACTAATTATGAGCCCGAACGCTAGCTATTGTTGATCAAAATAAACATTACTATTAGTAATTTTAGAAATAATCTATTTGATATCATTTTCGAATTCAGAGGCGTGCACAGGACAAGATTTTTTGTCCTGTCCTTACCTGTCCTGCTGGCTATTTTGGTCCTGGTGGGCGTCAGGGCAGGACAAAAATTGAAATCTCATCCTGTCCTCCAGGACAGGGCAGGACAGGACACCAGGACAGCAGAACCGCCCTGTCCTGTGCACGTCTCTGGTGTGTATACAGCTAGTATTCGAACAAAAACATTATCCAGTATCAGAAAATGAATTTATTGGAATCTGTGCATTTTCTGATATTGACTATGAAGTTTTTTCGTATCAATTAAGAACCCGACTAAACCGCAAGTTTTTGTCGATTTTTCTTTTTTTCTGACATTGAATATATGTATCAATAAAGCAACAAATGACTCTTAAAGTTAGCCTATACGCTGTGTTCTTGAAGTTGTACGGTAATTAAAATGAAAAGTCGTGGATAAACTATCAATTCAATTAATGCTGGATCAAGAATCGATGAGAGACGTGAAATCGTTAATGTAATGTTTATTAGTGTAAACTACATGTTGATAGATATTCACAGAGGTCTTACAGTGCAGTCACGGTGCCAAGATCTTATTTGTTGATCAAGAAGTTGAAAAGAAATTCTTTCTCTACATTTAACGAGATACAAAAACAATATACTGCTAGAATCTAAAGATTGATAAAGATAGAACTTTTTTCAATTCAATATTATAGATTCTAATTCAAGATACTCGTATGTATGTATTATTCGATATTAATTGATCAATCAAAAAGTGAGAAAATGTTGTACCTTAATCTTCACTCTATATATTTCGGAACTTTATCTAGGTTAAAATATGATAACTATATATAGAGTTATTGACAAATTATCTTTCCGAAATATACATGAAAAAAATACGCATAATAAATGCTGACTTTTAAATAATAGTGTTTCTCTTTTTCCAATGTTATTAACGATTTAACTGGTAGGAACTTGAAAATAAAAGACGTTTTTTCAAAGATAATGATAAAAATTAAATGAATTACTCTACATATTTATCTCTAAGTAACTTGCATTTTCAAATGTTTATCATTTTTCTTGTTTTCTATGAAATTTTACTACTGAAAAACATTTGCATACGTTATCTTATCATTGGAAGAATATCAAAATATAAATTATCATATTAATATATTAGTATATTAAAATCTACGTCACCATTTTCTTCACGTGTTACTACAAAGAAAAAGAAAGAATAGTTTATCAGTACACAGCAGCGTTGATGAAAAATATCTACACTGCATATAATAAACGAACAAATGCACATACACTAAAAATATATCGACACATTTAAAGACTGTATAGTATATAGACCAGCATCCTATGCGAAAGTATAAGCAGCTCAAAGTAGGTCATTCTTAAGTATGAAAAAAGGAGTTTTTCGTTGCGTAGTTGAAAGATTTCTATAAATCCATGGTTTTGTTTTTAAATAAATATCAATGAAAATAATTATCTATATGTGAATAGATTTCTTTTAACGATATTTTATTCAATTTTATCAATTTATTCTACAATTCAACATTTTATTATTCTGCTGTAAATTAATTTATAAGTTGGAAATGAGTAGAGAATCATCTTCTTCTGTAGAACCTATAGTTTCGCGTGCATCATTCTGATCATCTTGGTGTAGAAGTCTTGATTCAATAGACGAAAATGTTGGTTCTTGTTTAATTCATCCAATTGTTGAATCATCAAAAAAAATGTAAGAATCTGTACTCTATGTAATTGATATAAAGACTTAAGATCAATTCCAAAATCATCTCTCCTCTCTTTTCTCTTACAAAAAGAAGACTACATATTTATTCGTATTCACGACAACGCAGAAGTAATACCGGTGATTTCGAATATTAAAATTAGAAAATAAGAAATATTGTAGTATAGTATCGGTTTAATATATGTATGTTGTTAACATAGGAAACAGAAAGGTTCTTCTTTTTGCTATTCTTTCAGATGTAAATAAAATAGATCCAACACAAAGAATCTTATGGTATAATGATCAAGTTTTTTCAACTTCCAGGGGTTTATTCAGTTATTTTTTAAATAATTCAACAAAACAGTGTACTGATCACATAATTCTTGTCTACGCACATTGGAATACGCCGTGATATATTCATTACATTATGTATTATCATCATCGTGATTGCTCTTGTACTTGGTGTATTAATTGTACTGTATGTAGTCGCTCCAACAATAATTCGTTTAATAATTGCGAAAGTTAAAATAGATTTTCGCTGGATTAATATTGAACAAATTGAAAATGATCGTTTTCATCTTCGCGCTCAATTGGAATTATCACATACTGGATCTATTCCAGCGACTATTCTTTCACCGCTTATTATTAATGTGAACAATGTTGGAATTGTAGTTCATCATGAATCGATTTCTATTTCTGGAGATGCACATGCTTCCACTGTAGTTCTGATCAGTGCTCCATTTATTGTATCTGATTTGAAAGCGTTTCGTAACTTCTCTCGTTCTCTCATCTTCGAATCGAATGTTGTATGGAATTTAAAAGCTGAAGCTACAATACGACCTATCTTACGTCACATGATTTCTTATTCGAAGATTCCATTTAATAAAGAAGTTACACTAAGTGCGTTAAATGGTCTTTCCAATGTAAGTATTGATTCAATCAATTTAAATCGATCAGATGCACACCGAATACTTGTCGATCTTGTTATCAAAATAGTTAATCCATCTGTATTTAGTATTACGCTTGGTAAGTCAGTGGCGAGTATTATGATAAATAATTTATGATTTGATTACTGTCTCATTAGGGCAACTATATTTTTCTTTGCAATACAACAATTGGTCGATTGGATATGTTGAATCAACTAGTCAGAATCTTACACTCTATCCAGGTGAAAATAATATACAATTTTTTGGTGAATTACAAGCGGCATCCTCTGAGTCTTATCGTGCTTTGTCTACTGTTATTCAAAATTTTCTTACTGGTCAAACGAGTAGAGTAGAAGCATTAGCTGGTCCCAATGCTACATCTTATCCTATCTTAGCCGGGGGTATAATAGGTCTTTCTTTAAATGTTGATATGCCTCCATTTAGTGAGCAACTTATTGCTTCGTTGGTATTTAATTCATTATCACTGATTCCGTCGACAAATCAGAAAACAGTAAAACTTTCCGCTTCTATTATTATTAAAATAAATTCACCACTTGGTGAAAAATCTCCACTCAATATTGAGACAATGAATATGAAGGTCTTTCTTTTCTACAAAGGTAATTCTGTTGGTATGCTCGATGTTTCTAAAGCTCCTGTTAAACAATTAGATGCAATAACATATACATCGCAGTTTAACAATGAATGCTTAAATCTTACTGATACAGGCGTAACGTATGAAAAATTTGCTCGAAAATTTATTAATGCTAATGCAACACATCCACTTCATTTTCGTATTGCTGGTATGGCGTCTATTATCGGTTCATTTGCTCTTGGTCCTTTGAATATTGATGGAATTCCTGTCAAAAATAAGGTAACATTGATCGGTCTTAATGGTCTCAACAATGTTCGTGTTGATGGAATTTCTGTTGATGGAGAACAAGATATTGCACTGCGAATTTCAATTAACGCAACTATTAATAATCCAGGTGTAACTGAAGTTCAATTACGAAATTTTTCACTTCACATGGCCTCAGGAGAAAATAATACAGTACTTGGTCAAATACCAATCAATATTCTTGTTTTGCGACCAGGAAACAATTCTATTACACTCAATGGGTTAGTTTAGTTTTTTTTTATTCTTAACTTAGTTGTTTATTTTAATTTAATTATAATTGTAATCATTATTATTATGTTAGACTTCTGGCTCCATTATATGAAACTGACATTCCTACAATTGGTAAATTCTTTTCAGCCTATCTTAATGGTCAAACACAACCAGTGAGACTTTTTCATGGCCAAAATGCTGTACCAAATGCAACTGCAATGGATTTAACCATAAATCGTCTATCAATGAAAGCTAATCTTGATGGAATTCAGACAAAACTAATTCGTCAAGTCAATGTTCTTAATTTTGGTATCGAATTCGATCCAGTTAATGTAAATAAAGTTTATATAACAGGTCGATTATCAATTTTATTTGAGCTACCACCGAACATTCACATGACATTTAAAGTATTAACAACTAGTATTAATTTTACTATGCGTTTTAATGATGAACCAAATATAGGTCAAATGATTCTTAATGATATATCTGTTGAACATAATCAATTTACAAATGAACTATTAATAAATTTTAGTAGACATGAATTAATCATTTTAAATGATACATCGTTTCAAGAGTTTGCTGCTAATGTCGTTCTTAAAACAAATGCATCAGTTACGATTGAAGGCTTAGCTGCAGCACTTGTTGAAGTTCGAATAGGCAACATAACCTTATTGAATATTCCAATAAACGATACAATTCAGCTTGTTGGTTATAATCAATTCAATAATGGACTTCTCAACATTAATAATATAGATTTAGTGGGAACTTTATCATCTCGTATACTTGCTCTTCACGTACAAACAACAATCGTTAACCCTTCTGTTGTTAATATTCTCAATGCTGGCCGTCTTTCCCTGAACCTATGTGATATTAGAAATGGTGCATCGCTTGGCCTAGTTAGCATCGATCCATTTTATCTTCAACCACAAAATAATCCTACCTTACTCGACGCTGACGGTGTTTTTACGATTACTCAACAAAATGCTGATGCAGCTCTCGAATTTATTTCGCGTATGATTTCCGGTATTGACAATCAAGTAGAATTACGTGGTGCATTAGGAGATAATTCAACTGGCACATCTATACCATTACTCTCAACAGCTATTGCCGGTCTTTGTACTCGAACAAGAGTTCCAGGTTTATCTGGAGACAAAACACTTGTACGAGAAATTATTCTAAAACGATTAACTGCCGCAGAAATAGTTGGTATTCCACTTGATCTCGTTAAAACATTATTAGCACGTATTCGAATATCAAATCCTTTTAGTGCACCTTTAGTCATTCTAAAGATGAATATAAGAGCTGATTTTGGTCCTGTAACTAATGAAGATCAACAAATTGCTATTGTTGATTATGATACACCACTTGCTCTTAATGCTCACGAAGAATTGACAACTCCTTATATCGTTGTTAAATTATCAGGCAAATTGAAGACGTTGGTGACTCTATTGGGACCTTTATTCGCTGGTAATGCTCATCTTTCACTATCAGGCATTGTTGATGTTAAGATTGGGGACGATTTCGTTTTAACTCAAATTCCACTAACTATACTCAATGTAGTTGCAGATCAAGATCATTCGTAACATAGATAAACGAATGTTGAACCTATTAAATAAAAATATATTGGTCTATTTTTAAACTTAAATTTTACATAATAATTTAAACTAGTTCATAATTTTGCTTAATTTTTATTTAATCGTAACAATAACTTTTCAAAAACAAAAATCAATCGGTTATCGTTATCTTCGAAGGTATTCGTGAAATCTTTTTACAGTTTGTAAACATATTATTGATAATGAAAATTTTTAACGAAATATTTTTATAGTCAAATTAAGTTTTCAATTTAAAAAAGAATAAATGAAGTCGAATTTTTTTCTCACAAGTCATAATAGCTATGTTCTAATCTAAATAATATTGAATAACATAAAAGTTTGCCATTAGATCTACACATGAAGTAAAAATCAATTCTGCCTATAACCAAGTACTTCAAAAAAAAAAAGATAAATTGGATTCGACAGGCAGACACTATTTTCTTATCCATTATAACATAAAAATGTCCTAGTATTATTCTGTCAAAAAACATTTTCAGATAATTTATTAAGAGAGAGAGAGAGAGAGATTCCTGTAATTTCGAAACAAAAACAAGATAAATTAGCATTATTACGAATTCGTTTTTCAATACTTAACTTCTTTTTATTATCCATTGCACTAAATTGTCACTCTTGTGAACGCTGAAAACTAATCACTACAAAGCAATACGCAATATTCATTAGAATATCCTTACCACAATATTATGACAGATGAATGATGTCGAGTTCAAGACTCCTATTCGCTACTCAATGTTTAATCATTGTTAACAAATAAATAATGAGGATAATTGAAATTAATAATTCTATCAATACTGATTACATTACGAGAAAGACATTTTATTGGAGCAATCTATTGTCTGTGATTCACCTGGTGATGTTATCTATTCTCGTAGAATAGTTGAGTCTCATGTGCTTAAGAGCCAGTCCACGTAAGTCACGACCGATCACCATAGAGGGGTGCTCAATGAAATTCCTAGATTTGCGCAAAATTTATCCCGCATTGTAGAGTATGTTATTTTATACCTCGGACCAAATTGTTAGCCGTATTGGAGAACTCCCTGTCGAAATATTAGGATCGTTTGAACAAATTTTTACAGTTTTTTAACGACTTTTATATGAAAACAATAGAAAAATCACCTTTCAAATTGGTTTTCTCTCAAGATATGAATGGGATGGTGCTCAAAATAAATTTTCAAGCACTACAAAACTGAGGTTCACCCAAGGATGCAGTCAAAAGCTTGGGATCTCTGATTGAACAAAATCTGGTGTGGTTTATGTGGACTAGCTCTTAAGAGAATTGAAAAAAAGATAACCCAGGTCGATCAAAACGGACCACCGTAAACCGGCGTAACATTACCGTAGACGGTCGTTTTGCATCGTATTTCGTCGTAAAACGGCCGTTTTAAGCCGAATTAAGGCGTTTTAACAGGGGCAGTATTACGGCCATACACGGACAGCGTATATCAGCCGTAAAACCTCGTAAAGCCGGCGTAATATTATCGTATTCTATAGAACATACGGCCGTATTACTGCCCCTATTATGCGGGGAAAATACGGGCCGTTTTACGTGCCGTATTTGTATCGTATACGACCGTTTACTGATCGTTTTCTTCGACCGGGGAAGGTGCGGATAATTCAAAATTGCAGCACCTCTTCTTTTTTTGCTTAAACATGCATCATTCGATTTCCATTTTTACGCTGATCACGAATATCTACTCAGTTTTTCGATTTGAAAAAGCATTCGTGGAGAAAAACTTAAGATACCAAGAGAGTCTAAAAAATCAGCAAAAAAATTGTTTTACAACAAACAACGTGTATTTCTACAATGCTACACTTCTCACTCTCACCAACATGATCTTCGAATTCCTCATGGAAAAACAAGTCTAGCAGCAATATATATATATTGCTGCTAGACTTGTTTTTCCATGAGGAATTCGAAGATCATGTTGGTGAGAGTGAGAAGTGTAGCATTGTAGAAATACACGTTGTTTGTTGTAAAACAATTTTTTTGCTGATTTTTTAGACTCTCTTGGTATCTTAAGTTTTTCTCCACGAATGCTTTTTCAAATCGAAAAACTGAGTAGATATTCGTGATCAGCGTAAAAATGGAAATCGAATGATGCATGTTTAAGCAAAAAAAGAAGAGGTGCTGCAATTTTGAATTATCCGCACCTTCCCCGGTCGAAGAAAACGATCAGTAAACGGTCGTATACGATACAAATACGGCACGTAAAACGGCCCGTATTTTCCCCGCATAATAGGGGCAGTAATACGGCCGTATGTTCTATAGAATACGATAATATTACGCCGGCTTTACGAGGTTTTACGGCTGATATACGCTGTCCGTGTATGGCCGTAATACTGCCCCTGTTAAAACGCCTTAATTCGGCTTAAAACGGCCGTTTTACGACGAAATACGATGCAAAACGACCGTCTACGGTAATGTTACGCCGGTTTACGGTGGTCCGTTTTGATCGACCTGGGTTATCTTTTTTTCAATTCTCTTAAGAGCTAGTCCACATAAACCACACCAGATTTTGTTCAATCAGAGATCCCAAGCTTTTGACTGCATCCTTGGGTGAACCTCAGTTTTGTAGTGCTTGAAAATTTATTTTGAGCACCATCCCATTCATATCTTGAGAGAAAACCAATTTGAAAGGTGATTTTTCTATTGTTTTCATATAAAAGTCGTTAAAAAACTGTAAAAATTTGTTCAAACGATCCTAATATTTCGACAGGGAGTTCTCCAATACGGCTAACAATTTGGTCCGAGGTATAAAATAACATACTCTACAATGCGGGATAAATTTTGCGCAAATCTAGGAATTTCATTGAGCACCCCTCTATGGTGATCGGTCGTGACTTACGTGGACTGGCTCTTAAGCACATGAGACTCAACTATTCTACGAGAATAGATAACATCACCAGGTGAATCACAGACAATAGATTGCTCCAATAAAATGTCTTTCTCGTAATGTAATCAGTATTGATAGAATTATTAATTTCAATTATCCTCATTATTTATTTGTTAACAATGATTAAACATTGAGTAGCGAATAGGAGTCTTGAACTCGACATCATTCATCTGTCATAATATTGTGGTAAGGATATTCTAATGAATATTGCGTATTGCTTTGTAGTGATTAGTTTTCAGCGTTCACAAGAGTGACAATTTAGTGCAATGGATAATAAAAAGAAGTTAAGTATTGAAAAACGAATTCGTAATAATGCTAATTTATCTTGTTTTTGTTTCGAAATTACAGGAATCTCTCTCTCTCTCTCTCTTAATAAATTATCTGAAAATGTTTTTTGACAGAATAATACTAGGACATTTTTATGTTATAATGGATAAGAAAATAGTGTCTGCCTGTCGAATCCAATTTATCTTTTTTTTTTTGAAGTACTTGGTTATAGGCAGAATTGATTTTTACTTCATGTGTAGATCTAATGGCAAACTTTTATGTTATTCAATATTATTTAGATTAGAACATAGCTATTATGACTTGTGAGAAAAAAATTCGACTTCATTTATTCTTTTTTAAATTGAAAACTTAATTTGACTATAAAAATATTTCGTTAAAAATTTTCATTATCAATAATATGTTTACAAACTGTAAAAAGATTTCACGAATACCTTCGAAGATAACGATAACCGATTGATTTTTGTTTTTGAAAAGTTATTGTTACGATTAAATAAAAATTAAGCAAAATTATGAACTAGTTTAAATTATTATGTAAAATTTAAGTTTAAAAATAGACCAATATATTTTTATTTAATAGGTTCAACATTCGTTTATCTATGTTACGAATGATCTTGATCTGCAACTACATTGAGTATAGTTAGTGGAATTTGAGTTAAAACGAAATCGTCCCCAATCTTAACATCAACAATGCCTGATAGTGAAAGATGAGCATTACCAGCGAATAAAGGTCCCAATAGAGTCACCAACGTCTTCAATTTGCCTGATAATTTAACAACGATATAAGGAGTTGTCAATTCTTCGTGAGCATTAAGAGCAAGTGGTGTATCATAATCAACAATAGCAATTTGTTGATCTTCATTAGTTACAGGACCAAAATCAGCTCTTATATTCATCTTTAGAATGACTAAAGGTGCACTAAAAGGATTTGATATTCGAATACGTGCTAATAATGTTTTAACGAGATCAAGTGGAATACCAACTATTTCTGCGGCAGTTAATCGTTTTAGAATAATTTCTCGTACAAGTGTTTTGTCTCCAGATAAACCTGGAACTCTTGTTCGAGTACAAAGACCGGCAATAGCTGTTGAGAGTAATGGTATAGATGTGCCAGTTGAATTATCTCCTAATGCACCACGTAATTCTACTTGATTGTCAATACCGGAAATCATACGCGAAATAAATTCGAGAGCTGCATCAGCATTTTGTTGAGTAATCGTAAAAACACCGTCAGCGTCGAGTAAGGTAGGATTATTTTGTGGTTGAAGATAAAATGGATCGATGCTAACTAGGCCAAGCGATGCACCATTTCTAATATCACATAGGTTCAGGGAAAGACGGCCAGCATTGAGAATATTAACAACAGAAGGGTTAACGATTGTTGTTTGTACGTGAAGAGCAAGTATACGAGATGATAAAGTTCCCACTAAATCTATATTATTAATGTTGAGAAGTCCATTATTGAATTGATTATAACCAACAAGCTGAATTGTATCGTTTATTGGAATATTCAATAAGGTTATGTTGCCTATTCGAACTTCAACAAGTGCTGCAGCTAAGCCTTCAATCGTAACTGATGCATTTGTTTTAAGAACGACATTAGCAGCAAACTCTTGAAACGATGTATCATTTAAAATGATTAATTCATGTCTACTAAAATTTATTAATAGTTCATTTGTAAATTGATTATGTTCAACAGATATATCATTAAGAATCATTTGACCTATATTTGGTTCATCATTAAAACGCATAGTAAAATTAATACTAGTTGTTAATACTTTAAATGTCATGTGA